AGCTTATTTTGGCCAAGAGAAGCTACTTGAACAGGAAACAATCATCTGAACAATGTTTGAAAGGCCAAAGTTTTTTGGGCAATAAATTGTGAAATTTAGCAGTAACTTGTCTCCGGTAATCATTGTGTTCAACCTACAGTACTCATGTCCCGACCTGGACTTGGACTCGAACACTGAAAGATGTTACCAGAAATGTTACCATGGTCAAGAGATTTTCTGGAAGTCTTTAGAAAAATATAAAAAAAAAAAAACGGAAGAGGACAGAGGACAGAATGAAGAAATAAACCAAAAAAAAAACTGAAATGAAGATAAATTGAGAAACAATAGGCATGTAGGATTGTGTGCAAAGATTATCTTATATTTCAGCCTATAGCATCTTCACTTTTACACTTCAGGCCCAGTTACATACTGAAAATTTGTTTCAGCGACAAGACATGAGCAAGAGAGAATATATGGTCAACTGGTGAACTTTACAGCTTATTTTGGCCAAAGAAATGCCCACAAGAACAGGAAGCGAGTGACATTTAAAAGGCCAATCACACTTAAATGTTTTTTGGGGGGGGGTTTGGCAGCAATTTGTGAAATTAAAGGAGCTTGTTCAAAAATTGTATCCACTAATCATTATATTCAGCCTACTTGTGTCTCGATCTGGGCTTGGACTCGGATTAAGCTGGTCTCGACTACAACACCGGTAGTTGTTACCAGAGATGCTACTATGGTTAAGAGATTTTGTAAAAGTCTTTAGTTGGTGCTTTATGATTCTTCATAACTCTAGAAAGAATACCAAAAAAACAAAAAAATGAATTGGACAGTGGACAAAAAAAAAGTAGAAATAAACCAAAAACTTAAAGGGCAAGAAATTGAGAAACAAGAGGGATATAGGTTTGTGTGCCCAGAATATCTCATATTTCAGCCAACAAAACTTATTTTAGCCAATAAGACAAGAGAAAGAGACACCGGAGAGAAGACATGGTCAACTGGTCAACTTGAACAGAAAACAATCACCTAAACAGCATTTGAAAGGCCAACCACACTTAAATGGATTTTTTGGGGGGCAGAACATTGTGAAATGAACTAGTAAATTGTTCAAAAATTGCTCCGATAATCATTTTTACTAACCCTACATATGTCTCAACCTGGACTTGGGCTCGACTTGAGCTGGTCACGACTACAAGACTGGTAGATGTTACCAGAGATGTTACTGTACCATGGTCAAGATATTTTCTAAAAGAAAGACTGTATAAAAGTCTTTAGCAGAAGCCTTATGATTCTCCATAATAGAAATTAATACTAAAAATTAGAAAAAAACTGAGGAAGACGGAGGATTAAAAAGTAGAAATAAACTAAAAAAGCAAGAGAACCAGAAATTGAGAGACAAGAGGGAAATAGGATTGTATGTGCACAGAATATCTCATAGTTTAGCCTATAGCATGATCAGGCCCAGTTACATACTGAAAACTTATTTCAGCCAACAAGACATGAGCAAGAGAGAAGATATGGTCAACTGGTCAACTTTGCAGCTTATTTTGGCCAGTGAAATGCCCATGTGAACAGGAAACAATCATCTGAACGATGTTTGAAATGACCAACCACACTTTTTTAATGAGGTTTTCTGGGCAGCAAATTCTGAAATGAAGTTGCAACTTGTTTAAAATAATTGCTCAGCAGTCTCCGCTAATCATTGTACAGACAAAACCAAAGAAACCAAAGCTTCCTTCAATTGCAGATCAATCCTGCTCAATGGTCAGAAGGAATTTTGCGCCACTTCTCTGTCTCAGCGCTGCAATATTCTTAGGATGTCTGGTGTGAACTGTTCTTTTGAGGTCACGCCAAACCATCTCAATCAGGTTGAGGTCAGGACTCTGGGCTGCTCCAGAAGGAGCATTTTCTTCTGTTGAAGCTATTCTGTTGTTGAAATACTCCTGTGCTTTGGGTGGTTGTCTGGTTGCATCACTCTACCTCTGTTGAGCTGAGATTGGCAGACAAATTGTGTAACATTTTCCATCAAAATGTCTTGATGAACACAGGAATTCATTTTTCTGTCAATGTTGGCAAGCTGTCCAGGCCCTAAGGCAGCAAAGCAACCCAAACCATGATGGTTCCTCCACCATACTTCACACTTGGGATGAGGTTTTGATGGTGTGCTTAGTTTTCCCCAAACCTCCCAACTTCAGTTACATCTGTCCACAGGATATTTTCCTAGTAGTATGGTGGAACATCCAGGTGCTCTTATGCAAATTTAGATGTTTAGTTATGGGTTTTTTTTTTTTCTAGACTGCATAGGCCTCCTGCAGGATTTCCTCCAACGAACACTGTTTTTGTTTAGGGTTTTACATTATGTAGATTTCACTGTTGTAGCACACGATACAGAGTTTGTCTCGAGTCCAAGTCTCAGACCATATCTTCATGGTCTTTTTATGGACTCGAACATCTGGACTCCTGACTTGGACTTGACCCTCATCAGGTTTTCTGCCTTGACTCAGTCTTGGCTTGAACTTAACTACTCAGGTCTTAACCTGGACTTGGACTCAAACTGAGCCGGTCTTGACTACAACACTGGTAGTTGTTACTATGGTCAAGAGATTATCAAGTCTTTACTTGCCACTTTATGATTCTTTGAGGTAGAAAATGGTAGAAAGAATGCTAAAAACATGCTAAAAACATGAATAGAGAAAAAAAAAGAAGAAAAATGATAGAAAGTAGAAATAAAAAACGAACAGAGGAGAAAACGAGAGACAAGAGGGATGCAGGATTGTGTGCAAAGAATATCTAATATCTAAAATTTATTTCAGACAAAAAGACATAAGCCAGAGAGAAGATATGATTTGAAAAGTGGGTAAGAGAAAATCCTCAACTGCGATTCATTCTTTTTCGGAGATAAAGACCATTTGAACTCGACACTTTTAATCCAACAAGAATTCGCTCCCACATGCTTATAGAGGTCACAATAACACAAAGAGACACAAAAGCGAGGAATGACAAGAGGGAACGTCATGTGCAAGAGGAAATTCAGTCTCCACCTCGAAATGAAAGAGAAGAATTAAAGTCCTGGAATAATCTAGAAATCAAAGAAGACTGTTCTTGAGCTCAGCCTGAATTAAATAGCTCAGACGTTTAACATTCAAACAGAGTTAAAATACTAATTCATGACTCTAGAAGAACTCAATGTGAACATATCTGAGATAACAATATTTGAGTTTAATAAAATTGCATATTGCTTATGTAATCTACATGGGCAGGACATGGCTCTTGAATAAACATCCTTTGTAGAGGAAAGGTCTGATTTTAAATGTCCCACCTTTACTTTGCTCTGCTCATCAGATGAAATGATTTTGAAAACTTGCTTTTAAAAAGTTAAGAAAATCTCACTGTAACACTTCATATGTGACCCTGGACCACAAAACCGGTCATAAGGGTCAATTTTTTTAAATTTAGATTTATACAGCATCTAAAAGCTGATAAATAAGCTTTCTATTGATGTATGGTTTGTTATGATAGGACAATATTTGGTCGAGATACAACTATTTGAAAATCTGGAATCTGAGGGTGCAAAACTAATCTAAATATTGAGAAAATCGCCTTAAAGTTGTCCAAATTAAGTTCTTAGCAATGCATATTACTAATCAAAAATTAAGTTTTGATATATTTAAGGTAGGAAATTTACAAAATATCTTCATGGAACATGATCTTTACTTAATATTCTAATGATTTTTGGCATAAAAGAAAAGTCGATAATTTTGACCCATACAATGTTTTTTTTGGCTATTGCTAAAAATATACCCCATCGACTTCAGACTGGTTTTGTGCTCCAGTGTCACATATTAGGGAATACTATTCACTATTAACTGGCTGTTTATTCATACTTATAAAGCATATATAAATCCTTTATTCTGCATTACCATATTTTAGATCTCTTAATCCTAACCCAAACCTAAACTAAACAAAACAACTACCTTACTAACTATTAATAAGCAGCTAATTAGAAGTTCATTGAGGGAAAACTCTTAATAATAGTGAATAGTGACTACGACCAGGTCACCATCTCATCCATACTTATTTTCATACTATTAACCCTACATAAGGGGTAAATGTTTTGAGTCCAAAAGCAGAATTTGTGCATTTGGCTCTGGATCTCAGACTTAATGAGTAATTATTTTTCTATCCAAACCCACACTAAGGTTTTAATTATGCTATAACCAATGGTAACCAGCTTTAGAGCACAATCATCAACCGAGCATGTCTAATCAAGCATCAAAGCACATCCGATTCCTCCGACACCAACCATTTACCAAGAATCAAATGTTTATAAATACGTAAAGGGCAGAAGCACTGTCTTCTGAATCCCACAGAGCACTGCAACATGTCTCCCGCAGATGGACGGGGCAGGGTCAGGAAAAATGTTTATTTAACAAAAAAACCAACAGGCTGACCAGATTAGTGATATCAGTGATTCAATCGTTCATTCATCCAAATGAAATGCAAACGTAGAACCGCAAGATGTTAATCTGGCAATCAAACACAAACCTCATGTGAACCTGAGGAGCGCTGAAAATATAAAACGATAAATATTGGATAATACAGTTAAATGCAAACCAACAAACTTCACTCTCAACAAGGTTGTAGAAAACTGGCTCGCCATGATCTTTGGTCACGCAACATCTCTTAACAGCGGTGTAAAGCATCTGAAAAACAACTGAGACTCACATACAAAAGGACAAAAATCTACAGAAAAAAGAAATGGATCAATATGATGGATATACTTTGCTCTGTACAATTGCACATTTTCATGCCTTTCTCCTATTTAAATCGGAAAATGCAGCCATGATTAAATAGCATTTAATCAGACTGATGAGTCTTGTGATAGAGTGTTAAATATCTGAAGGAAACAAACTAGTTCTGTATATGTAGATAACAGATCTTTTGCCACTTAAAGGTGGTATAAGCAATTTTTAAAAAAACGCTTTAGAAAACTGATTCGGGCCGAATAGCAAAACAAACACTTACCCCACCTTTAAGTGTGGCCACTTAAAGTACATCAATGCTTGTTTCTACTCTTGTGTATTTATGCATTCTTTATATATGGCTTGTGTGGATATGAATATGTCTGTGTATGACTGTCTATCCCTCTGTCTCTCCGTGGACGTTCTCCATGTGGACTTTGAGGTAGTCGTTGCGGGTGAACTTCTTGTGGCACAGGGAGCATTCAGCCATGGGTCTGTTGGGATTATGGGTCAGCTTGTGTCTGATCAACATCTTCTTCAAACTAAAGGACAGGTCACACACCTAGAAATACACAAACACATTACAGAAAATATGATGTCGTTTTTTAATGTTAAATATCTTTATCCCAGTTTAAAATCAACATGAAATGGACCCTCGAGAGTAAAACAATATTTTCTGTAATATATGATGTTGGTCTTACTTTGCAGGACTCATTGGTGCACATTATTCTATAGAAAATTAGTGGTTTTTAATCTTTAATTTGTAATGTTTTGTAACTTATTCTTCCTCTGAAATGTTGTCTCAGCTGGTTAGTCATTGTTTTAGCTCACATTCAGGTCTTGTTTCATTCTCGTATGTAAAACTCACTTTTCACCATCCCAAAAAAAATGCACAATTGATAAAATCAAGTCCCGCCTTACATTTTCCTCATTGAATACCCTGCTTCAAATATGTCACATTACTTTCACTCATCCTGCACTGATGTTTGTACTATGGGCGTGAATAATAGTGATTATATTTCTAAGTCATCCATCCATTTTCCAAACCATCTACCCCATGTATTGTCACGTTGCACACACACGAGGAACGAGGAGACGCTGGAGAATACGTTTAATGGTCAGTTATTTTTATATTTACTTAATATATTTGAATATTAAACAGATAATGAAACATTTAATTTTCTTTAGGGTTATTATAGTTGAAATTAATAATAAAAATACTATTGTTATTATTGATAATTAAAATAAATATATGAAAAAATATATGGAAAAATGTCAAGTAAATAAAAAATTAGTAATGTCAAGTAACTGTCGAAGCACTAAAATTACTGAAAATAAACTGGAAAATGAAAATAAATAAAAACTACAACTGAACTAAACTGAATACATTTATAAATTAAACCTAAATAAATAAATGAAACCTTAACAGTAATATAAAAATAATACTATTAAAAATGACAAAAGCACACAGCAAAATTATTGAAAATTTAGAGTAAAAAAAACAATAAACAAAAAATATATAAATAAAAGCTACTTCAAAATATTAATACAAACTATAATATTATATAAAATAATACTAAAATAACACATCTTCTTGACTAAGCTTTTAAGTTAACTTAAAATATTTATTAATAATATTAATGATATATTTTAATAATAACATTTAAAAACATTTTTTAAACAATTCATTATTTTCCCACAAAAATGAGAAGTGTCCGAGATCATACAATTATTGCCAGTGCCTCTGCAATAGATGTCAAGTGTTGAAGCACTAAAATTACTTACAATAAACTGAAAAATGGATATAAATAAAAACTAAGCCTAAAACACCCTTAACATAGGCTTACATTGAAAAAAGGTCATATTCAGAGACTCGAATATCATTAAGACATAATATGAAGGTCATTGGTGGAGTTTTTTTACTTAAACTAGTAATCATTCACCAAGCAGCCATCCAGAAACCATTTAGCAACACGCTAAAAAGCATTTTAGCCTCTTCATAAGCAATGGCTTGGCAAACCTACATTGTGGCTGTGACTTTTGTAGACTTTTTTTCCAGGACAGGACATAATAAATTAGTCTAGTAGCCATAAGTGGATTTACGTTACATAACCCATGAAAAAGATCCATGAGAGGATGGTTTTTATTTTGGCATTTCACATTTCGTGAAACAGCTCTTGTTTACAGACTTCATTCTGTAATGTGTGTTAGCATGACTTCATGCCCTGCGACCGCAGAGAGGATGTGAAGGCAACGCTCAATACATCAGAGCAGACACACAAACAACCAATAACTGAAGGAATAAAAACACAACCAAAGAACTGCAAGCCAGGGCCAAATCTTCTAAAGTTTGCCATATGCTATTGGTTGAGACCTTAACACACACACACACACACACACACACACACACACACACACACAGCAGAACCACTGGACTGGTGCCACGACACACACACACACACACACACACACACACACACACACACACTATCAAATATGCATCACCAATGGCACACAAATCCATTTCACATGATAAATCAAGTTGATCTCTCCAAGAACACTCAATATTCTTTATCTCCATGAAGAGACAGTGAAAGATATTGCAGCTGTCACTTTCTTCATAAAATGAATGTATTTTTTTTTATTTAAACAGCATGAAAAAGCATTTAATGCCTTGATGGACGACTTATTAGTCTCAGTCTCTCACTGTGACATGAAGTGCAGATATTAATGGCTGTGGGCACATGTGAGGAATAGAGGAATAGAGATGCTAAACCATTTATACTCTGATGTATCCATGGCACGAAAAAAAAAACATACTAAGCAGAAAACTATAGAATACTTTTCAAACTGAACAGCACAGCATGTGTAGATTCCTGTTTGAAGTGTGTAGTTGCAAGCAATATATATATTGGTTTGTGTTCAAATAAACCTAAATTCCACGTTAAAAAGGACGGAACGTGAATACAAGTAATTGACTTTTTTTTGTACTACATTTTTTAAAGTATACACAAACATTTGGTAACATTTTTAATGCTGCATTTATTTAGTTAAAAATACATTATTATATGCAATTTAACATAACACTTTTCTATGTGAATATATTGTAAAATGTAATTTATTTGTGTGATCAAAGCTGAATTTTCAACATCATTACTCCAGTCTTCAGTGTCACATGATCTTCAGAAATCATTCTGATATGCTGATTCGCTGCTCAAGAAACATCTTTTGAATGGTAGTGTATTTTGGGGGTGAATTTCCAGCTAAAACTGACTATATAGTGTAACTGGGACATAAAATGACTCAAACTCTCATATAAGATTTTGGTCGTACTGCACATCTCAACATGCAAGTGGATGTTTGTGTGCTGTATTGATTTTCTTATTTTTTATGAGTCACAAAAGCTAGCAAATTTCCTCTATGAACGTGCTAAACAATCCCAGAGCCTCTCAGACGTCCACAGCACACGCAGAGCGGTTCACTTGTGAATACGACACGCTCCGGTTTCACTTTACTGTCACTTTTGTTTAATTCCATTACACAGCAGTCACTACAGGACACCATACAAAAATAATTCAACACTAATACACTGGAATGTAGGTTGTGGAACGAAAAGTTTTCATCCTGTAGTCAGTGTATAGAACAAGCAAACGGCCAAAGCATCGACAAATGCTAGTGTGCTTATATTTTAATGAGAACAAGCTTGTTTAAATACATTCAAATATGTTATTTATTTATAGCAGGTTTGAATGGTCCTTTGTTGCTATATTGTGAATTTTAGTGCATTTTAGTAAATCTAAAACACGATCGCTCACAAGCTAAAACAGAATAACAAGATCTCAGCCCATTAAATTTCTTTAGACCAAAAATGTGGCAAAAGTGTTTCAGAACATTAAATCCTCATTTTGACACCATATATAACGCCACAAAGTTCCTGTTCTTTAACTTCAACAGGAGCCGTGAAAGACAGGCACGACCACCCCACAAACCACTTCAAATGTAGTCAAATACTCAGGGAAAGCGAGTCAAAAATAAATGAATTTGGAGTATGGATGGTTTCTGGCACGCTGCACTTCAAAAATGCTGCGCATGAAAGAAGTCCCGGGATAATTTGCCATCATCAATGGAAGCCATTCTAACAACCGTCATCAGAGCGCCAGATTTCAGACCAAATCACTCCAGGCTTAAAAGACTTGTCACGTCAAATGCAGAGAGAAAAAAAAACTGAGGAAACAGCCAATTTCATTCTCTTATGCTCTTTAAAACAGTCAAAACTTAGAAAGACATGCTTGCAGCTTGCCATAGAAATCAAATAAACACAGGAGGAATGTTTCTCATTTTCCTTAGTGAAGTAAGTGTGTGTGTGTGTGTGTGTGTGTGTGAGAGAGAGAGTGTGTGTGGCTGGACTTCCATGTGTATCTTTATATGGCTCTCTGATTCACACACTGCCTAAGAGAGAATAATAAAGCATTCAATTGTAGGTCTGATGGTGAGGAATAGTCAGCACTCCTGTCCTCAACATGTTACGTGATTTGAGGAATCATTCACATCTGTAGCACAATCAAATCATGTGTCTTTTTGAGGTGTGCTAATTTACTGTAAGTGATCACACAATTTTCATCTGACAGATGTATAAAAACATAAAACGGGTAACTACTTAAGATTTGAGTAAAAAAGACAATTAGAACAATTTAGCAACTTCCTTCCCCTCATTCTAATATTTCTGTATTCCATTTTAATGGTTTAATTAAATGTATAAAAAAGGCTAATTAATTTAATTGATAAAACTTTAAAAAATGGAATAATTCTTTCTTTCTTTCTTTCTTCTTTGTTTTTTTCTTCTTCTGGATTTATGATTTAATACAGATTTACTATTTAAAAACGGTGGTAATCAAAGGCATAAAACATTAACTTTTGAATTCATCTTTCAAAATGTAATGCAAAAGAAAATTTAACAATTCCTTTTATTTTTTGGCAAACAGAGGTTTACTGTTAAAATTAAAACATGGAAGAAAATTTGTGAAAGCCCATACTATGCACTAATGAATAATGCTCAGTAAGACCGGGAGTCAAATCTTTGAATTGTACTGGTTAATCCAGTTCACCAGAAGTGTTTTAAATGATTCGCTCACGAGTCAAAGTGACCAGGTTCTTGTGTCAAACTCACTGACTCAGTGATCCGGTCACAACAGCTCACTGCAGGGGAAGATTATCAGTGAAGAACAACTTCACTTTGGTCTGTCCTTCACACAGCGCGGTCACAAGACTTCAGAAAACTTGGAATCTGATTCATATGAACCACTTTTACGATGCTTTTTGATGGTGCCTCTTTGAATCTTGAAAGCTCCAGTCGTCTTTCAATGTTGACTTCAGAAAACTTGGAATCTGATTCATATGAACCACTTTTACGATGCTTTTTTATGGTGCCTCTTTGAATCTTGAAAGCTCCAGTCGTCTTTCAATGTAATTGCAAGGGAAAAAGTGACAGGTGCATTATTCATACAAGAAGGACATGAAAGTGAGTATGATGATGACTTATGTAAGCTGTCCCTTTAAGAAAGCAAAAATACAATATATATTGATTCAATGAAGTCTTTAATCACTAATATAAGATCTGACTGACTGAACTCTGTGTGTGTGTCCTAAGAAACCGATGGACACAAACGTATTTTCAGGGACAGTGAGAAGATAGAGAGGAGTTCACAACTGCTGTGGTTTGGAGCTGATTGTGTGTGTCTTAAGGGTCAGAGATGGGTCAGTTTGCGCAGGGCGGTTTCGTCCTTGTGTCCGCCTGGCAGGACGTCCTTCCACTGCGGCTTTGACACCACAGTAACACCCTCACACACACACACACACACACAGACAGACAGACAGGGTGAGTGTGTGCTGGTTTATGTGCTGCGAGGGCGTTCTGGTTCGTGGTCTGATGCGCGTCACGGTGCTGATTATGTGGACTCGGCGTGGGCCGCAGGGTTAAACTCAAGACCGGCTTTAGCTTTTCCAGCGGTCTTAGACTAAACCCTGCTGAACGTCACACACTACCCACAAGCCACCTCTCTCTCTGCTCTTCCACTGGGATGTGGCTGCGGTGCGTCGAGAGCAGTTGTCTGATAGTCAGCCAGAATCAGACATAAAAAGAGCCTGTGTTTGTGTGTTAGAATGCAGTATTATGCAATGCGGTCTGCGTGTGTAACTCACGTCGCACTGGAAGGGCTTCTCTCCGGTGTGTGTGCGCATGTGTTCATCCAGGCCACGCTTCTGACTGAAGGCCTTGTTGCACTCGCTGCATTTATACGGCTTTTCCTGTAAAAGAGAGTGACGGTTAACACTTAGATTTAGACCGTATCATAGTACTGTGACTGCTCTCATCAGAGTTACAAATGTCCTACACTTATCATCCGATCGTGGTTGTATCTCTCTATTAGTGCTGCGTTTGGCACTATTGACAACAACATTCTCTTGAGTAGGCTACAAAATGATGTTGGCATTTGTGGAAGCGCATTGGCATGGTTCAAATCATACTTATCTGACTGTCATTAATTTATAACAGTGAATGACAAGGTATCATATTGATCACAAGTACAGTATGGAGTACCTCATGGCTCAGTACTAGGACCGTTACTTTTCACACTTTACATGTTACCCTTGGGAGATATCATGAGGAAATATGGTGTTAGCTTTCACTGCTCTATATTTTTTCGCGGCCAGATGAAACATACCAGTTTGCAAAACTAATGGAATGCATTGTTGATATAAAAAAAAAAAAACTGGATGACTAGTAATTCCCTACTACTAAATTCTGGAAAAACAGAGGTTTTATTTATTGGACCAAAAACCTCCACATGTAATAACCTGAATTGACTTGAACTAAAAAATGACTCTGTTATTGTCCTCTTGTATTATTGACAAACTATTTTCCTGTTTGACATTGTAAAGCTGCTTTGACACAATCTGTATTGTATAAAGCTCTATATAAATAAAAGTGACTTGACACAAATATAGGGTCATATTTGGGGAAGATGCCCACCTTAAAGGGATAGTGCACCCAAAAAAGAAAATTCTGTCATCGTTTATTTACCCTCAAGTTGATCCGAACATGTATGAGTGTCCTTCAGCTGTTAAACACAAAAGAAGATATTTTGAAGAATGCTAACCAAACAGGTGCTGGTAGCCATTAGATTCCAAAGTATGGAGAAAAAAAAAATACTATAGAAGTCAATGGTTACCGCCAACTGTTTGGTTACCAACATTCTTCAAAATATCTTCTTTTGTGTGTTTGTGTTCAGCAGAAGAAACAATCTCATACAGGTTTGCAACAACTTGAGGGGAGGTGAATGACAGCATTTTCATTTTTGGGTGAACTGACCCTTTAAGAGCAATGTGAGTTTACTTTTAATTTTTTTTTTAATTGATTGCCATCTTATCCATTATTTTGAAGACAAAATCTTTAATTTACAGTGCAACTACACTAAATTCAAAATTCTTAAAAATGAATTTCTATTACTTATTTTTACATGGTATCACTATCAGTGTGAAGCAAACTGTGAAAGTTCAGTGATGAACAGCATTCACTACAGACTTGCTTTCCACTCACTGATCTTTATATATAGACAACACTATCATCTTGTATTATATGATATTAGCTGTATTACAAACATTGTTCTGCAATGTTTTAGATCAACACATTCCTTCTTCAACTCGGGTATCGTCATTTCACACTTGCAAATACGACTTCTCTTAGTTATTCACGTGTTTGTAACTCACAATTAAGATATTTGTGACTCTTGAAGGACTCATACTCTACAGGAAGCAGGACTGGACACCCCTGATATAGGACTTTCCTAATTAGGATCTGAAGGCGTGTGAGTGTGTAATAGTAGGCGCTGTTGGAGGGATTGACTACAGTTATTGTGTTTTTGAAGAGACTAATGAAGAGCTGATACATTCAGAGAGAGACAGAATAATCCCTCAGGCATGAACATACATCTGTATGTTTACAGAAACTAGAGATCTCCATTACACACACACACACACACACACACACACACACAGTATATATTTATATTTATATAACTTATATTATATATAAATATTTTAATATAGAAATATAACATATTTTTCTGAAATATATACATGCATATGTGTGCATTTATATACATAATAAATATACACAGTACACAAACATATATTATGTATACAAAAACTTTTGGATTTTTTTCCCAAAATTATGAATGTGATTAATCGTTTGACAGCACCAATATATCAATCTATCTATCTATCTATCTATCTATCTATCTATCCCGTGGTTTACAGTGAATTTATAACAGCTAAGGGGGGTTTAGGCACTCCGCTTTGCGTCGTAACAACGCCCCTTAGCTGTTATAAATTCACTGTAAGGCCACGTTCACACAGCAGCAGAATACGTTGTCAGTCCTGTATTTGAGTCCTTAATACGGTTACGTTCACACACAGTATGGTTATTTACGGGTGTGACAACCGCATTCTGTAACCGAACTCGCACCTGTAAATGTTCAGGACTCACAACCGCATTCTCGGAACACACGCGCTGTGTGAACGGAACAGGACTGGACAGTTGTCTGTCACGTCATACAGTGCGAGAGAGAGCCGCTCAGCCGCACAAATGCACGTCTACCGTGTGTTACGTGTTTTCACATGTGTTTTCGGTAACTTATAGTGACGGAGAAATGTCAGTTTTCCACTGGAGCCGCTCCCGTCAGTTTTGTGTTCTGTGCGCGACTCAAATACTCCACTCTACACCCAATTTAAAGGATGCTGTCGGTTAATGAAGATTTGACGAAAGAACTCGTGGCTCGATTGGACTCTTGTCATGTCAGAAAGGGGGGACAGTTGTCTGTCACGTCATACAGTGCGAGAGAGAGCCGCTCAGCCGCACAAATGCACGTCTACCGTGTGTTACGTGTTTTCACATGTGTTTTCGGTAACTTATAGTGACGGAGAAATGTCAGTTTTCCACTGGAGCCGCTCCCGTCAGTTTTGTGTTCTGTGCGCGACTCAAATACTCCGCTCTCCACCCAAATATAAAGGCTGCTGTCGGTTAATGAAGATTTGATGGATGAACTCGTGGCTTGATTGGACTCTTGTCGTGTCAGAAAGTGATAAGACTTTCAGTTTTATGGACGTCGCCATCTTTGATTTTACTTTGGTCACTGTCGCTATGGTTACTGGTAAGGAATACGGGTTTGACTCCCGTTGCACGTTCAAACAGACAGTATTCTAAACAAAACTGTAAGCTGCTGTGTGAACGGGACATTTCGAGACTCACACCTGTTAAGAAAATACGGTTGTCAATCCCAAAAATTGACAGTGTGAACGTAGCCTCAACCACAGCTTCTTGGGGCTTATTGCTTTATTTTTATTGGCATGTATGGTTCCATAAAGAACCTTTAACATTTATGGAACCTTGCCAAGTTTCTTTACAGTCAAAAAAGGTTCTACATATTATTAAAATGTTCTTCAAACTATGAAAAAAAGGTTAACTGAAAGGTTCTTTGAGGAACCAAACATTGTTCTATTAATCACATTGCTGCGGAAACCCATTTTTGAAACATTTATTTTTGAGAGTATGTAATGAACCTCGTTTGCACAGAAAGGCATATTTGGCCAGAAAATACTGGTGATGGCAATTGAGTACACATGGTGCATCACTGTTCCAGCACATATAGTGTCTGAATAACCTGAAATGCAAGAAGTATTTGAATAAGCTGGAGGATGTTGTGCTCAAATACAGTGCTATAAATTTGGCAACTCTTTAGTGAGGCCCAAACAGAAAGAAATATCGGTCACGTAAGAGGATTAGCACAGTTCTGTCACTGCTTGTTCTCATTACTGCATCACCGATGCTCTGTTTTCACATGATGTCTTAATGGCTGAGTTTCTGTTGTGTGTCAGTCCACAGCTCATATGTTATGCTGCAGAATTGCAGGATCACGCTCCAAATTTGGCAAAGAGTTCTAATGATGTGCTGCATCTGTTCTGCTTTCTTAGGTTTTCTTGGATTAGTGCTGATGTTGCCACTCGGTCTGTGTTATAAATACGAGGGACACTGCTACACTAAACGACTGGGGAAAAGATGGGAGAAGTGATAGAGTTATTTCAGGAAATGATGTCACAACAAACAGCCATGCCATCCATCATCAGAGAACGGCTTTCCAAAAACATGTTTCATTTCTTGCTATTTAGCAGATTCCATTAAAAGCATCTCAAGCTAGATCCCACTAAGAGATTTTCCACCCAATCAGTGTTGGGCTCATTTACATCAGGTGTTATAATATGTGAAGGGGGAGAAATATCAGAAACAACTGTCTACTATCACCCCTCATCCATATTTGACTTTACAGTAATATCAGGGACAGTCCTCTCCAGTGACCCTGGGGTAAAAAGTAAAACTAAATGTTTAAACTAATTAATAACATAAACATAAACATAATTAATGTGTGCTTGTATGTATGCAGTCTTACCCGAGTGTGTGTGCGTATGTGCATTTTAAGGCCGTCGTTCTTGCTGAAGGCCTTGTCACAGTATGGGCACTGATACGGCCGCTCACCTGAAGACAAACACAACAAACATCAGACTGTCAGACAACTCACTGATAGACATCCACACATCCATCTGCTTAATATGAACAAACAAATGAACCATGTAAAGTAAACCATGTTTAAAAATAAAAAATAAAAAAACGTTGGAGCTTATTCTCGAGGAAAAAAGCGATACATTGTGTGCAACAGGTTTTTCAGCAATATTTTGGTCATGTTTTTTAACGTTGAGTCCTTAAAAATGTAGAATAGGTGATACAGTAGGCTTTATAGAGTTAATAATCAATGGCCGGAGAAGAAGATAAAAATTTTTACCTCATGATGCATATCTGGACCATAGCAATATGCTGTGAGAGCATCAAACAGATGTCAGTTTTCCAAAAAGCAGTGACCATGACTTTGAATTTCAGGTAATTAGACTCTTAAAGCCCTTTGGTGCAGACATGGAGCTGGTGACAAAACACCACTGACAGCAATAAAAGGAACGAGGTGGCACTGATACGAAGAGAGATGGTTGTTCCATCATAACATACATACAGATCCGACCATGACAGCAAAGCCAATGATGGCATGCAATTCAGTTATTTGGCTCCATACTCAAAACTAGAAGCAAGACTGGTAAACATAGATTGTGATGTGGCATGTTTATTTGCGGGTTGTTTTTTTTAGTAACATAGTCAGTTACGTCATTGTTCAAGTCAGTTGGTTTTGAAAGAACGCCACTGATCCCCATCCGAGCAGCAGTGCCAGGACGGTTTCATTGGAAAATGAACGCTCTAATTGGTGATCAAGGCACATTATGGCTTCATCATCACTCCTAAGGTTCTGCACCACTGGAATCAAAGCTTGGAAAAACTGGAATCTTCTGCCTCTTTGGATCAAGAATGTTTTGATGCCAGGCATAATTCGGCTTTGGAACTGAGAACCTGGCACAGAACACAGGAATCTGCATAATGTTAAAGGCTCCAATATGTTGCGGGATTGAATGCAGAAAGTAACTGTGTCATGCACAGAACCAGCAAAATAAGACGGATTTGATGACTTACTTTGAGAGTTAAACTCTGCACCTTCAGGCTGGATATCTTTTGTAAAAATTTGTTCCGCGTTTTTGATCACAAATGTCTTTTTTAGCCCAAGATCAAGTACAGCTTGACTGGATACATGGATACAGCTGCATATTGATATTTCATTATGCAAACAGGGCAGCCTTTAATCTTTATGAATGGGAATATATATATTTACGATTTGGCCCATGGAGGGTCTAGATATATGCTTTCTGATCTTTGACTACATGAAGTCTGGAATAACGTGTCCACAAGGAATCTAAAATATAAAACAGGATTTCCAAATCAATACTTCGTGTGTCTTTAGATTGCCAGTCTTCCTCTCCAGAAACGTAAAACACACAGGGTTTTTGTGTCTCTATCTCCACCATCTTGAACCGCAGAGACCTGCAGTGGGTGGAGCCGGTTAAGCCCCGCCCCTCCGTGGATCAAAGCGTCGCTGGGCTGAATGGGAGAGATGCTATCTGAGCGCGCTCAGTATCAGTACAAAGGAGGAGTGACAAACTGTCAATCAGAGAGTGGACAAACACGTGGGTCTGTTTTAGATAAAGCTGATCCTGGCTGCAGATAGCAGAGCGGTTATGACTGCAGCGCTACAATCCAGCAGTGTGAGGTAACAAACACCGCTGCACTGGAGGCCCAATTCAGTGCTTCTGATTTTGTTTAGTCAGAAAAACGCTACTGATTATCATAATATGGAAATTGCATTGCAAGGTCAATATATTGTACATTACGATAATTTAGCAAAATAACAATGTCTTAGACAGTGTTGTCAGTTAACTAAAACGAAAGCTATTAAAAATCATCAATTGAAAAAAAAGCTGAAATAAAATAGAGAAATATTTGATTAAAACCTATGAAACATATAAAATGTTTAAAACATGTTTAAATGGCAACTAACTTGACTTATTTTAGGTACTAAAATTACTAAAACGAAAAAAAAATAAATAAAGCTAAATAGAAATATTAAAACAAAACAAAAAAGTTAAACAAAATTACTCAAACCTAAAATAAAATGAACATGAAAACTGAAAATATCAAAATAAAAGCTAATTCAAAATATTAATAAATACCATATAATAGCAAATAAATAATACTAAAATATGCAAAAATTCAATGGTCCTCAAATCTTTTTTCTTCAGGATACAGAATGCACATTGGATATCACTATAGCAATATCAAAACTATTAACAGTTTATTATACAAAATAAATGTAAAAAAAAAAAGTCCATATTATTTTGATCATGAATCATCCAAATTTCTTAATATTACCATGAACTGCAAACACCTAGCAATATGCCAAGATCATAACATTATTGACATGTTTCAGTAGAGAATGTAGCTGTAAATGGTCTTTACCCTTAAAATAAATGGTCTGGATTTTATTTTCTGGTTTTAGTTAAAATAAGACAAGCTTGCCTTATTCCAATAACAATGTTGCACTCTCTGCATAGTTTAGCACATTTAAAGCCATTCCACGGAATTACATTGATTTATTTTTGTATTTTTTCCTCATAATCAAAGAACATGCAAAAGATTTTGTGTCATTTCTTGAGTGTAATTACAACATGGACACTACAATATAAAGTGTGATCAGACAGTGTCATACTTTAAATAATCTTGTTGAATTTGCAATAAATGAAAATGGGACATCTCTCCATAGATTATGGCCTGTTTCACACGGATGTCTGCAGCACATGTAAATGACGCTTTATTCATTTCGGTGCCCATATTAACAGAATACACTATTCAAAGAACAGTATACAGTAATAAAGTTACATTTTGCGACAAAATATTTGTTATATAAGATCTACCGCTTTACATTAGTATACTGTATGTATGCGAATATAGCTGTATATAATATATGCAACTATATATAGATTGTGTGATCATACAGTTTTTACAGATACTTTACTTTATGTCACCTATAGTGCTCCTTTCAACCAAGCAGAGAATAAGTACACTGTGCATTATATATTACGAATCGCGGTCTGGCTGATTTATTTCTAAAATCAAGACTATGCAGTGTAAAAATCAAGTTCTGCATGATGTCAGCAAAATAATTTCCCGCATTAAAAAACAGAGCTCCGTATAACTGGAACAGCGAGAGATAAAAGTCAACTCACTGGCACAGCTTCTGTTGCTCTGGCATGTCGTATAGGAATTATCTAGAGAGTTTCAGAAAAGACGTAAAATATCAGGCTCACAGAACCGTGAGATCCAGCCGTCACCAGCAGGAAGCAGAGAGAAACCCAGGCACGTGAAATAAGCTCTATTTTCATTACGGGCCTTTCTGGGCTAATGAAATAAGGGTTTTCTGGATGGAGAATGGCTCCCTTCGGAATAAGTAATGCGCCTGGCAATTGGAGCAGCCCCACAGAGAAACGTTAAATGGCAAAACATAACTTAATAAGACACTGTCTTCAGAGAGATGCCAGCTGCTGTGTTCCTGTGTGTGTCCTGATTGTGCAACAATCCCATTTCTAATTGGCCTTCTTGTTAATGCAATCTCTTGAGGGAATAACTGTTGGATTCAAAAAGTCGTACATAGATTAATTAGATAAACGAAGAGATTGGTGAGGAAAACTTTTTGCTGCCCTTTGAATAATAAGGTTAATTAGTTCAGCTTCAGGGGGAATGCACACGTAAGATGTTCATTAAACACGAGAGCGCTCTCCAAACGAGTCTGCCGAGACGCTTCAAATGAGCCGTTGTGGTGCTGATTTGATGGTGACAAGCTTTCCTCGTACTTCCAAAATCTGGATGCAATGCACAGTGCAAAACCCATGTAGTCCACCAAGCTCTCCGTAATGGAATAATGGCACCTTCCTCATCCTCCAAAGCATTTCTATAAATGGTTTTAAGACAAATCTTGAAACTTGTCTTCACAGCTGCATCTCAAAACCACGTATCACATCCCCATCTGTCTCTCAAGATCAAGTGGTTTTCTCCTTTGGTTTGTATTTGGGTGTGTATTTCTGCCATCAGGAAACGTCGTCACCCTGTAAAGCTATTTATCACCACTGCGTCTTGCATGGCTTCATGCCCGTTTGAAACTTTCATGAAGAACGTCGGTGTCGGTTTACAGGTCAGCGTATTGACAAACAAGTCAATGTACTTCACAGATGTTCTCGGGTGCATCAGGAGGAGCTCCGTCATTTATGTAACAAGTAGGGTATTGGGTTAGAGCTGGTCTTAGTCTCTGTAGAAGACATTAGAAGAGGGATCCAGCGAGATAGTGTTCAGTCTGGACCCTGGGTCGAGGGATTTGAGCATCTGTCAGGTCTGTAAAACAGGGATTAGCTCAGGACAAAAAGAGCCTGTGCTCTCACGAGCAGATGGTATTGAGGAGGACCGTTCCTGGCTGAAGTTCTGCCTCCTCTTCCACGGTCTGATGCAATATTGTCTTATAATAGGAGTCTTCGATGCATGGCGACTCCTTCCCTTAGGATGTTGGTCTACACTGAGCGCTGGGTTCACCTCTGATGTGAGAGCAGCGTCTAGCTCCACTAAATAGTGTGCAGGGGTGTTCGTACAGCACAAGGTTCTTGCAGTTGAGTTTTAAAGAGCCTTCATTCTGTTCAATTTGCACTATAGTTGTTTTCGAAAGCCAAAATGTGTCTTGTGTGAATGGTCCCTAAGAGTGTGAGTTGCCTTTCATGTTTTAGATGAAGAGAGATAAATGGCAGATATACAATTCTAAAAATCTAATTTTGGTTGATAACCAACTTAGTACCAATGTATTTAACAAATATAAATGCATATTATACTGTATATACACCTTTAATTTAAAAATGAAAAGTAAAAAAGGGTTGGTATTTTCTTTTTCCCTAAGGGCCTTACTAGGGGCCCGTGATGCAAATTAGCATATGCTATACTCTTTATGTACAATGCATATTTTTAATCTTTTTTGGGCTGGTATCATGCTTTTTGTACTGTCCTTATCC